ATCTTTTGGTTTTTTTAGTTAGTGCTGTTATTATCATAGAAAAATAATATTGAGGTTATCGCAAAATACACAGAAACATATTGTAACCTCTCACTTCAATCCTTGCAAGCAGTAGCAAATAGTAGGGTTGCACCGATACTTATACTAGTATTTTCACTCGTACTCGTGAAAAAGCCCTTATACTTAAAGCTGATACCGTAACTTTAAAATTTTAAATGACTTTGATTGCCGTAAGATCTCACGCTTGCTGGGGACCTCACGGCAGCCTACTAGGGACCTTGTGGCGGCTGTGTACAGCACTGGTCTGGCCACATATCTCCTGCTCCTCCTTCCCGCTGCCCGCACAGCCATTGGGGGACCTGCCACACGCTGCCCTGGTGAGACCTGTACAGCCATTGTGAGACCTGCACACAGCCCTGGTCAGACCCACACACAGCCCTGGTCAGACCCTGCACAGCCTCCTGAGATGTCACATAAACCTGGTGAGCAACACAGAATATGTAGCTTCATATTATTCTGCATTGCTGTACAATGTATTGCAGGGATTTGTAGTTCCTCTACAGCTTGGAGCCAGTGGCAGAACTACCAGGTGTGCAGCGTTTGCAGCTGTGATTGAGCCCTGGTGCTCCACCACTGTCCTAAAATGATTAGTCTGTATTGTTTTAAAAACAACTGTCACATGACACAAAAAAGAAGGTATCAGTAATTGGTATCGGCGAGTACTTAAGAAAAAGAATCAGTACTTGTACTCGGTCTTGAAAAAATTATATTGGTGCATCCCTATTAAATAGGTTATTAAATATGACTTTTTAATATCATATTCTTTTGTCTAGAAGATATAGGGTGGAAGAAGTTCAAAAGAGAAAATTGCTTCCGTTCTTGCATAAAACTAAAAAATGTGTTTAATTACAAAGTTACAAATGATTACATGATAAATGGCATGAAACAAAATATAAAAATAGTTATGTAAATGTATAAGTAAGTTCTTGTAAAAGTTTAGTGTGTGTGTGTCTTAATTGTGTCAAATGTATGTAAGAAAGCTCTAGCATGTGAGAATAGGTCCCTTTTTTCCTTTGTGAGAATGTCCCGGCCTTCTGCCATGAGTAGCTGTTTAAAACATAGCAGCTCTGGGACATATAGTCCTCAGCTGAAATCTGAAACTCTTAAGGTGCCCATACACCTACCGATTATCGTACGATCATCGCGGGAAATCCCACGATCGTACGATAATCGGCAGGTGTATGGAAGGCGTGCGACCGTTTCTACTGTACGGTCGCACGTCTTTTGTCTTACCGGCATGTTTGAAAACCCGCCGAGAATCGTACAATTTTCGGCGGGTTTGTGGCCTGCTCATAAGACAAATGCTGCACGGGCTGGTGTGCGCAAGTGCACACTGCCCGTTCAGCATTGCAGTCATCGGAAGTCCGCCCCTCAGCGGGGCTAGCTTGCGATGATCGCAAGTACGATCTGCCTGTCCAAGATGGGCAGATCGTACTTTTTTAAATTACCTTACAACCATCGCAAGCCGAAAGTCTGTGGTGTATGGCCAGCTTTAGAGCACTAGTAGGAGTAGGGGGATTGGAGGAATGCCCCCACCTTTTCCCTTGTCTTAACTATGAGTTAAAATGCATTCAACTATCATATAAATCATATAATGTTGCATGTATCAATATTTATACATAATTCAATGTTCTTTCTTATATGAATAACGTAATCAATAAATATTACAGTAAAGAGATATCATTCATTGTTTGTAAACACTTTATAAACTTTGGGGTCTATTCACGAAGCAGCCGAAGGATCTAGCCGTAGCTTCGGCTGATCCTTCGGCTAGCTTCGGCCCCAGGACCCCTTCGGTTCAGTCGAACCGAAGGGCTGCTGTACGGGCTATTCACAATAGCCCGTACAGGTCCAACTGCAGCAGAACCGCCGGACAATAGAAAACAGTTGAGCGCTTCGCTGTCATTGCTAGCTCCGCACAATCCTTTTCAATTTATTTTTTTGTACTTTTTAAACAATTTTTCTGTACTGCTCGGTCCCTCCTGAGGTCCAAGCAGAACAGCCGAGCAGAACAGCTATTTACTCACTGCTGTTCGGCATCTATAAGAATAAGCCGGATGTTGGATCGGCTGAGTCTAACTCCTTCTTCGGGTCGGTCGAACATGCTGAGCATGTTCGGCCAACCCGAAGCCATGCGAAGCAAGCCGATGTACGGCTGATTTCAGCCGATATACGGCTGAAATCAGCCATACAAGCCTGAAGTGAATAGCCGAACAGTGTTCGGCTCACTTCACTTGGGGTCGGTTGTTCACTTGGCTGCCCTCGGCAGCTTATGAATAGACCCCGTTAAATTAAAATATTCTACAAAGCAACCCTCACACTGTTTTCCTCAGTAATTAGGAATGTGGGAGGTTCTAGCCATCTCTACCATCATGATTGATGAATAACATATGTGCTGGAAATAACTTCTAGTATTACTTCTTTCCAGACCACTAAAACCATGGACTTTAGTCTGCTTGCATATATTGCTAAACTGAACAAATAAATATATAGAAAATCAATCATCACTTATGTTCTTCACATCCATACATAATCCCTATATGAATAATACCCTATAAACATTATTAGTATTGTTACTTATATTCTAACATAGGTATACAAATATTTGCATTCACTGTGGTACAAGTGATCAATGTATGGCTCTGTTCATATCCTGGTTCCCTTTAATACAACCCCAAAACCAAAAAAATTGGGACGCTGTGTAAAATCTTCATAAAAACAGAATGCAATGATTTGCAAATCTCATAAACCCATACTTTATTCACAATACAAAATAGAAAACATATCAAATGTTTCAGCGGAGAAAATTTACCATTTTAGGAAAAAATAAGATAATTTTGAAATTGATGGCAGCATCATGTCTCACAAAAGTTTGGACAGGGCCATATTTACCATGGTGCAGCATCCCCTCTTCTTTTAACAACACTCTGTAAATGTCTGAGAACTGAGGAGACCAGTTGCTGGAGTTTTGCGAGAGGAATGTTGTCTCATTCTTACCTGATCTAGGATTGTTAAGGACTCGGACATCAAGAATCCGACATATAGCTGTCCCTGGGCCAAATTCAGTACAAAGTGTGCACACTATCAGTGAAGAAATAAAACACGCTGACACCGAGAGTGAGAGTAAAAATACTTCTTTATTATTGTTCCGCATTGTTGTGTTTTATATAGGCAGCTGATAGTGTATATGTAAACATAGCGTTTGCGATAGTTTTCTAGGTTATAATTGGACTGATTAATTAAAGCGTAACCTCCTTCCCGGATGCTGACGTCTCGTCTTGGGTGTTGTTTCTCCTGGAGGCGCCATCTTGGTTTCTATTTCTACTGCGTACTTCTCATAGGGGGGGGGGATATATATATATTACAATATATATTGAAATAGGCATTTTTATCATAGTCACTTAACCACATCCATTACAGTCCCCCCTAAAATGGCTATTTCTATGTAGATACATTTTCATTTTTCTATCCCTTACCCTATCACCTGGCACACACCCCGGAACTCTTTTCTTTACATGTGTAGGGGCCATCCGAGGGGCTAATCCACCTCTGGTCCCAACATGTAAGTGTGAACGGTCAGGTGGTCTCTGTCCCTACTCTTACTGACCTAAGGTGTTATAACATTATATTTGGGGGGACAAGGATCGTAACGGGGAATATGGTTTCTCGTCATCACTCAGGTAGGTGTCCTCTTCTACCTGTATCATGGTTGGGGTCAAAGTACTCTCATCCACCACTTTGCCCATTAATTTTCTGGCATAGGGGATCACACACCAGACTACTATGCTGATAAAGGTCAGAACAATGAGAATCACCACACCTACTTGGGCTAATGCTTTCTGCCATCCTGTCATCCAATTAAAATATTGGTCCCATGGGTCTGTGATCCCTGAATTCTTCTTTAGTTCCACTGACAGGTCTTCTAGCTTCTTAATGGCTAGGGTTACTTTACCATTTGGGCCAGTGTTGTCTGGGATGTATGTGAAAAATGATTGAAGGCACAGGAACCTGCTGCAAACACCCCCTTCTCCGCTAGAATCATGTCTAGGGCCATCCTGTTTTGGAATGTCATGTAAGAGGTGGGGCCTAATTGGTCAGCAATTCCCTGCAGCGCATCTCTGGTATAATTCACGCTGCTGGTTGTAATAGACGTAATATATCCAATCTACGTTCTTATTGACAGTGATCATGGGAATCAAAAAAAACTGCTATAAGAGGCGCAATACCCTTTTTAGAAGTTGCCCAGATGCCTTCCCTCCCCTACATGGCGAGTGCAACAGGTGTAATCCCCAGGATATCTTGTGATGCCTTCTCCTGGTTTGGGTGCCCTGGTTATAACAGGGTACTCTGCCTTCCACCGCTCACATGCTGAGTGATTAGTGGAGATATTGGGTGAAAAGGCTTAGGAAACACTCTTCTGCCTCCGCGGGTATATTTAGTGGCACTGTACCTAAATGTGGGACTGTACCTAAATGTTTCGTATATTCAGAACAAGTGTCATACCGGCCCCTGGCTTGGTGAGAGTGAGACGGGTCAGCAAGGGCTCTCCTTTATTATCTTTACTGTCATAGGCTGGCTGGGGTTTATACCCCCAGGGTGTCCCTGTATTCCAGGCCGCTGCTCCCCAATAATCACAATTCCTTCCCCATGACCCCTTGGTGACACAGATGTACCCTTCCCCATATCCTATTGTATACCATTTTGCTCTATTGGGTAGGGCAGGTGAGTATTTTCAAGGGTGGAAGTTAAATGTGGCCAAAAAGGAGATAAAGGATCATGGTTTGTTCCCCTCGGTCTCCTCAGCCTCAGAGACCTTCTTGCAGTGGGAGGCGTGTATCCACGAGTTCTTCCCGGCCACCTTTACTGATGTGGCGGTTGTTAGGAGGACCTGGAAAGGACCGTCATATCTCGGTTCGAGGGTATGTTTTTCGCACAAATTTCTTCACCAAGAACAGTCACCAGGGACCAGCTTGTGTGTTCCTGTATCTAATTCAGGATCTGGAATGGAAGAAAACACTTAGACATGGATTCGGGTTAATTCTCGTGACCATGTGGTTGCATAATTAGTTAACACATCAGATTGTAGTTGCAATTGCTGTGAAAAATAACAACCAAGTCTGGGGGCTGAACCAAACAGGATTTCATAAGGGGGCAGGGAGTGTTCTCCCCTTGGTGTGTATCTGACACTGAATAGGGCAATGGGCAGACTGTCCGACCAACTCATACCAGTCTCTTGGGCCATTTTTAGCATTCTGACCTTCAGAGTGCCGTTCATCTTTTCTACTTTCCCACTACTCTGCGGATGGTAGGGGGTGTGGAAGGCTAATGTGACCCCTAGACCTGTCCATACCTCTTTAGTTACTGAGGCCGTGATCACTCTCTATAACCTCTGGGACACCGTATCTGCACACTATTTCAGTTAAAAGTTTATTTGCAGTGGTCTTGGCAATCATGTTGGTTACTGCATAAGCTTCTGGCCAACCAGAGAACATATCCACAACCACTAGGGCATACTCAAACTGCCCACTCTTTGGCATTTGGATGTGGTCGATTTGTATTCTCTGGAAGGGGTACAGGGGTTTTGCAAGATGCTTCTGTGGTGTCTTCTCTGCGCGTCCTGGGTTGCACTTGGCACAGATAGCACATGATCTGCAAAAGTTGTTTGTCAATGTGGTGATCCCAGGTGCTGTATAGTACTTGTTGATGAGGGAGTTCATAAGGTTCTTCGACAGGTGGGCTGCTCCATGTGCCCACTGGACCACTGCTGGATACAGACTTCTGGGTAGGCAAAACTTCTTGTTGCACTCAAGCAATCCATCCTTTAGAATTGCTCCCTTCTTCTTCCAGGCCTCTTTTTCTTCTGGGCTTGCAGTTCCTTGAAGTTCCTTCAAGTGGTCTTTGTTTGCTGGTAGGGTCTGTAGATTCAGAACTGGAGTAGAATCTTCTCCTGGTACCATCTCTCCTTCCACTTCACGTGTGCCACTTG